TTGGAGTTTTAAACACAAAATATACACAACGCAATATACACATACAAAAAGATTTAAAAAAAAAAATCCAAATGCTCAAATTTGATGAGAAACATGTAGAAATTTCTTTTTCATGAAATTTTTTCAACCTTTGACCAATGAAAAATTCAAAAACACATTTTTCTTAGCAAAATTTCAAAATGCTTTAAATTGATGAGAAACATGTAGAAAACAAAATTTTGAAATGTTCTTTTTCAAAAAAATTCATGGAAATTTAAGCTTTGACAAACATAACATGCAAAAATTAAGATTTTTTTGAAAAATTCCAAATTTTTTTTATTTTATTTTCAATTGGATCCAAATTGATGAGAAACATGTTGAAAACACAAGATTTTGAAATCTTTTTCAAAAAGTTTCATGAAACTTTTTCAACATTTGACCAACATGACATGCAAAATTAAAAAAAATATATTCCAAAATGCTCTTATTTGATGAGAACCATCTAGGAAAGATTCATCAGAAATTTTCAATTTTTTGATGAGAACCATCTAGGAAACATAAGATAATGAATTAAAAAAAAGATTCATCAGAAATTTTCAATTTTTTACCAAGCTGATATGCACAAATTAGGATTATTCCTAATTTTCAATGCAATTCTTATACTTTACCAAATCTCGACTGTTTTCAGTGCAAAACACAATCAGGTTTAATAATTAAAGATGTTTGCGTTTCAAAAGGAATATTATATTTACAAACCAAAGCTATATATGGAATAACACCTTTGAACAATTTTTTGCCTTAATAATAGAAAAGATGATCCCTCTTAGCCCACCTAGTCCCACTATTGTGTTTATATTCAATAATTAATACAAACAAACAAACAAAAAATAAATCATTCAATAACCCTGACAAAGTCCTGTTAAAACTGACATTTTCAGTGGACTTAAGTTAAAAAAGACTATTGTGCTGTTGTTGTATGCTTTGGATCAAAGGTTGTTTTAATAAGGCCATTATAAATACATCAGAAAAACCACTCTGATATTCAGCAAACAAATCAATACAGGATGTGCAACATTCATCAGTGTTTTATTGTGGCACCATACCTCATAATGAACAAAAACCACGTGAGCCTTCAGCGCCCCTGCTGTGTTCAAAGTCCCTCGTATCCAGTCTACTTTATAATAAATATAGGTAGTCTCCTCCGTCCACTTCTGCCAGAAATGTATCTCCTAGTCTTGCAACTTACTATCAATTCACCTGGAAAATGAAACAAAGTTGGTTTAAGGTCAAGTTGAACATGGACATTAACAGGGGTTAAGTACAAACTCACATGAAAAAGGAACATAAAATGAGATGTTTTGCATATTTTTTAAAAACTGGACTTTAAACAGTATGTGTTGCATAGCTTAATATTTAATACAAAACATTTGAATGTTTAAACATGACATGTGCCATGTAATAAACAAAAATGTTGTAGGTGGCCCATGCTGTTTACAGGTCCTTGAAACCTTTATTTTCCTTTCCTTTTTATGAACACATTGTTCTTCGCGGAAATGATTGTCTGAAATTTACAACTAAAATTGAGCTAAAGCATAGTTTTTTTACTTATTCCATAGACTTTTGATGGCAAAATGCCAGCTGTCAATCTAAGGAAATTACAGAAGCACGGCTCCATTGACATGAATGTATTCGACAGGCCTGCCTCCAGTCCAGATCTGTGACGCATCCATGTGTATCACAGAGGAGAATCCAATTATATCAGCTGCTCAAACCTTATGTAGATCAAGAATAGGAAAAAAAATTAGTTCAGGTTCAACAAATTTTTTTTTTTTAAATTAGATTTAGGTGTGACACGTCTGCTGTGCAAACCAGTACAGCCAAACACATGTAGTGTCTCTGGAGCTTATGACCAGTTTGTAAAGGATTAGCGAGAAAGCCATACATTTCCTCATAACTTATTAAACAGCAGCAGTGAAGTGTTTTCCCAATTCTTTGTCCTTGTTACACACTAGTTTGGAGCATTGTGATGGTTGATTGGACCTTAACACTCCCCTGCAATTCACCAGCACCAGCAGTCTACTTTATCTCTCTGCAATATTGATGAGTAGAAGGTCCCACAGTGGAGCCTAAAAGCCCCCCTCCCACCCCCTGGGCCTCACACCTTCTTAGTGGGAAAGACAACTTGACTGGACAACTCTTGGCTAAAAGGGACATTTATGTTGAAAACCGCTCATAAAAGATGTTAGCCAAGATGCTACTGTAAATGTCATTAACTTAAACATAACGTAATGTTCATCTACATAAAAATAACATTTTGTCAGAGGGTCGGGATTAGTCTGGACAGAGACCTTAGGAGCCAGACCTTCAAAAAAAAAAATTGTTATTTCATGTTTTTTTTAATCCAGTCATGGGTTGGACTGAATGGTTCTGTTGGTCACCAGTTGGTGATCACTGGTCGAGAGGCTAATAAGCACAGGAGTGTTACATTTTGTAATGTATGAAAACAGGCAGGATGCAACACCAGAGAGACATGGATCAGGTGCAGAGAATGTATTCAAAAATAAAACAACTCACTGGATACAGGAGCAGGCAGGTACACATCCCTTGGCCTGGCATCAACCAGCAACTGG